TAAACAAATTAATATCTTTTGCGTATTCATAAACCACATAAATATAAGTTGTTAAGAAATTCGTATATCAACAGAACAGTGGATTTGTCATCTACTTTAATCCAGTTAAAAATCTTTCATCCACTTCTATATAAGATAAATTTTAACATTATGCGCCCATATAATCTTTATGTTTTCTAAGTGGTCACCTCTTAAGGTTTTACGACTATAATGTGTCAATTTATCTCTCCCATGCTACATGTACCGCCATCTTTTCATTATTAAAATAATAATAAAGACACTTATGTCAACATTATGATAAGAGTTGTAAAAGTTTTCTCCTGTGAATTTACATGTGTTTGAAAACCCACTCCACCCGTTACACCACAGCATACATAAATCAACCGATATTCGGAAAAACGTATTTTAATTTACAAAATAAAACCACGACTTTATCGCAAGTGGTAGTACAAAGTTGCCCAGCTATTTAGCAATGCAGATTTTTCTGTAAACCATTAAGAGATTACATCACACGTCTATTGTTAATGCCGAGATATGCAGTGGGGAACCAAACCGGTAAACAACCAAATTCCTTTCTGTTAAAAGAATAAATAACTTAAAATGAAAGAAACAATCCCTATCGACGTTTAGAAATCTCGACATTGCAAAGAGGAAAAGTAGCCCATCCTATTGCTAGAAAATAACAAAGCAAAAGACTGCCCATAAGGATTCTGTCGACATCTTTGCTTGTTGAGAATATTTTCACGTAAAGTCTGTAGCAAAAATATACAGAGATAAGTGCAAACAGAAATATAATTCACTGTATATCGATTTGTATGTCTTTTCTCCTTAGCTTTATAGAACCACATCCGTAAACATGTAATCAGGATATGTGTAGTTGTTTCATTTAACAAAGTCTTTGTCACTTCACACAGTGTACGGAGCAAAACGAATGCGAGTAATTATTAGATGGACTATGAGTAATAATTTCAGGTTCAAGAATTACTAAGTTAGGCTGGTACAAGTTTGACGTACTGACAAGTTTGTTTGTTTGTTTTTGTACAGAATGTCCCGAGATATTTTAGTTGTTCTTTGTAAATGTCAACCGAAAGAAACCAAACAGTGAAGAGAAGTTTTATTATATGATTGCTGTTGTTTATTTTTCTAATTCCAGCTGTAAGGGTAACATAAGCAGAGCGCAACTCTATTCTGTGGCTGTGGGGTATGTAGCCTACAGACTTCTAAGGCATTACTATAATGCGGGCTCAGACCCTCCAGTAGTTAAGGAGCGCACAATTTCCAAATTAAATGTGAAAGAAACGGATGTTAAAAGACAGACACTTATTACTACACAAAGTATGCGGGTTATAGGAATGTAAATTTCGTTCGTACAATTATATGTATTCAGGCACAGAAAGGTGTTCAGGACAGGAAAAATGATGACCCTCGCTTGGCGAACTATCGCACTGTGTACAGGAAGGACCATATTACTTGCGAGTTCTTGGGGCGGGGGTGAAGAGTACGATGATAAGCACTGCGCGCGCATCTACTCTTTTATGTTATCACAGTAACCGGCCGTTCCGTGCACCGACCAGGCCGTACCGAGTGCAACTATCCACAGCGCTAGGGAGCTCAGCTAGCAAGTAGTCCGGGCCCTACTGTAAATTATTTGGGATCGAAAGAATATAATTTAGGAATTTTCAAAATTCAGTGCTTGTAACTGTTTAGCAAGGAGGCACATAAGTTTATCGTTGTGAAAACGTAGCAGATAAGGTAAAAGGAATTCAGAAACCCGGAAAAAACAGACCAAAGTATTATTTAACTAAAATCATGAATTCGGAAGTGCCCGCATTGGCCTGACAAGAATCAAAATTCTAACTGGACTTCCAGCTTTAAAATCCACCGATACAAAATGTAATCACAATCCGTTTTGTAATTTCAGGGACGAACAGAGAGACGTATTTAAACAGCAACATATGTTATGTATTTGTCAAGTGCCTAATCAAGCAGACCGTGGAAACGTACAGTCCTAGTGGAACTAAAGCGCTCCACGCTTCAGACCTCGAAATGGATGGAGGTTACAGCCCAGTTTCTCGATCCAGCCGCTTTAACTCTGGACAACAGATCCAGGCATCCATTATAAGTATAAGCCTATAGAAGGCTGGGTTGGCCCCAGAGCCGGGATAGTCGTGGTGGGGAAGAAAAATACCCTTCTATTACTGGGAATCGATCCCAGGTCGCCCAGCCTGACCCAAACCAGTTATTTTATTGTCGGACATATAAGTACACAGTCTTAATTATCTTGAAGAAAATATGACGAGAAAATTTTCTTATCTAAATCCTGTTGCAGCAGTAAGTTCTTCCTCAAGGATTTTGACAGAAGGACTTTTTATATATTTGACGATCTCCCTAGAAAATGCTATTTTATTCCCTTCAGCATAAAGATGTTGAATTTTCTGGAAAATATATTTAGAATACTGTCTCCCAAATTATATTACGCGAAACCCTGGTTCCCTGCGGGGATAAATGTTGTATCACAAGTTTCTCACGATCACCACCTAAGATATTGTAATAACATGCAGAAAAATCATTCGCTGAAATATTCTACCTTATATTGCATAAGGAATATATAACGAATTTTGAGTAAAGCTAAATTCGATTTAAACTGTTCTTAAATTAATCAATATCGCACTATACAAACAATTCAACAATAGTATTAATTTGTTACTCTATAGATCTTTGGTGTAATAGTACGCCCATAAATATGTCTATATTGTAAAGGATATATGGAAAATCGCGAGTAGATTTCTATGGACATTTGGCATATATATATATTCCTAGCGAAACCTGAATTTTGTATTAATAACGAATTATTCATTCTTAATAATTATAGAAAACGTTACTGTTATAATATTAATATATTCAAACTATTCAGGCAATGAATCAATAAGAAGAATTTAAAGGTAGCACCTTCGCGAAACCCCATATGTTGGATGATACTGATATGGCTGCACAAAGCTTTTGTTGACTGTAGCAACGTGATATAGGTAGTCAAACGGGCGTGATGCATTGCCAATGCGTGTCTGGCACGGCGATGTCATTCATTATACATTATCTACACCAAGATGGAAACTGAGGTTAAAGTAGAGCGATTAGTTGGTCGTATTCATACGTAATAACGCCAGACAGAACAGCTTCGCGCGTGCGCCATACTTAGCGCAACCACGTGACACTATAAATGAGCTCTGCATGTAACTGAAGAACTTTATCTCCCTGTAAATGCTGGTAACAATGTTAAGAAGCACAAAACAGAAGCAATTTCATAGCAATCTATAAACAATTAATGTACGGTCCCACTGTACTCCCATTTTTTCTCTAGTATCTGATGGATGCAGTTCTGATCAATTGTTGATCTATTACATCTGAACTTAATATATATGAAGATATAAGAGCTTCTGTTAAAAATGTTACTACCTGTTCAGATTTTAATTGGATAAGGCACCGATGTTGCTTCATGTATTTTATATTGATTTTACAACAGACAATTTCATAGTCGTTAATACGATTTATAGAGGACACTTTTTATAATACGCAATTTGTTTCAATGTTAAAATGGTATAGTCAGACTCAAGCGTAGAATAATTGATTAGGTTATCATTAAATTTTATTTGAGTTTGTACTCCAGGCACGTTATACTTCTAATGTTACTTGTTAACCTGACAGACATCAGAATTCGCAGTCTTATGTAACATTTTTAATTAAATTGTGTTTACGTGATATGAGGGTATACCCATTTTGTAAAGTGTTGCTTCTACCCCTCTACTTCAGACTATTGCGGACAAGAAAGTATCGTCTTCCTGTTTCAAAAACAAAACTACAAATTCAAATATTACCATTTTTTTTAAATCCGATATAACCCCAAAGATGGAATCGTAACAAAAACTAACATTTCTGCTTTCGTAAAGCTACTGTGTGAGCCGCCTGTAACTGGAGAGTTTCTCTCTGTTGGATGCAAATAAATAGAATAAAAAATAAAGTTGTGTGTATTTTATCTCATCTGTAAAACTAGTCATTTTAAACACTATAAGTCAAAAGAAAAATAACTTATAAAAAATTTAAAGTAGTAGTTTTCTCAAGTCTGTTGTGTGGAACGGTTATAGACGGTGATTTATTAAAATAAAAATTATGTTAGAAAAACTCATACTGCCCACAACAAAACGGAACGTAAGTTGCAAATTCTTCCACTGCAGAAACTTCTGTTCTATTTTATTCTGTGACGTTTATTAATACAACTTTTAGTGATTTTACTACATTCGAGGACAGAACGCTGAAGCGAAAAAATATTAATTACAAGATATGACAGGGTTGTAAACATTGCCTCACACTTGGGACGAACACCGACCGTCAGATACAATTAGAGGTGCTTCGTGCACAACGAAGTGACTGCCCAATCGCCACCTCCCCCACCCCTGCAATCGTCCCATTCTGGATGAATCAGCAGGGGATCGGGATGCAGCACGTGGAAGCAGAACAGCAGCACTATATAATTTACCAGCCTATCCCTAGCGCATCTGCAGTCTCCCGTTCGCTGGATTTGGTTGCCACAGAACTAATCGACTCAAACACTCTCTGACCCAGGCTCGAATCCCGTTGGAGACTAGGCTGACTTCAGCAATTGACGACTCATCTTCAAATAACAGATGTCAGTGAACAGAAACGAACAAGAATTAACACGATTCGTTTTAAATTGCAGGTTTCTGTCTGTATGTGGCAGGATAGTTGACTTCATTCAGGATATTTCAGATACCTTACTATTACATGACTCACGGCTGCTGACGTTTGAAGGCAGCCAATGAGGAGTCACTGCAGAGTTGCTAGATTGCGCTCCGCAAGCAGAGTGTGGGAACGCAGACATTAGTTGATACAATGTAGCATAAAAATGGGGCTGTGTATAAAATATGGGGCTACACACCATAACTTTGAACACACACACATATCTTTAATATGATCTTAAAACATACCTTGCTGTTTTGTTGTAATCCCAGAGAACAGTTAATGGTGTATCACCATCTTCTCTACAAATGTGTAAAACACTCGATTTTTATCGCCACAAGCTTCAGCTGTCAGATCTTGGCACTTCGAGAATTTTAGTCTGTCCATTCATCTTCACGCGCATACTTACAGAAGAAACTGTACACTCGATAAACTATTTTTCGACCCTTCACAATGATATTGGTTATTTGTTGCTACTTAAGGACGTGTCCGATGCACTAACTTTGCGTGGAGCTTTAAAAATGAGCTGTGCATTAATTCAAATGTACACTGGCACGATCTTTGTTTGTAACAAACTAATACCAAACTGCAATATAAAATTTTCCGCAACGCCACTCCAAACATCCACTACACAGCTCTTCGTTCGACACTTGTAGACTGACGAACGAAAACCCAAGTCAGTGTTCAGATTACAGAAAACATGAACCTTGCGTTACCAAGAGAAACGAAAATTGCTACCTCTTCTACGCTGCTCTGTGCGTTGTCAAACGAAACTAGATAACGTATGGAACATGAGACAACATAAAGCTCGTCCTGATGGAACAACCCCCAGACAAAATGCGATCTTACCGCCAGTAATATTGCGAACGTTTTCTGAAGTCAATGGAAAATGAACAGAAAAAGCGGGATGTAAAAGTTTTGATTTAAACAGCCGCACATATCAAGAACTGGGACCAGAAAAATAATGTTTTCTCCGGAAAATTCAGAAATCGAAAAACCTTTTGCCTGACATGTTATTTGGTTTGGCTAAGAATACTTTGTCGGAGTGCAAGTGATATTTAAATTACGCCTCTCAGCGCAAGCCGTCGGTAATTCTAAAACTAGGCAACGCTGCACCTTTCTGTTTGCCTTCTTCGCTCAAGATGACCACGCCTGAAACGTCAGTAGCCGTGAATCACATAATATTCTCAGAATACATCTCATTGCCATTAGACCTATAATTACAGGCCAATAAATTAACTCCACTGAGCATAATTCCTCTCGAAATGCCAGCAGTCACTCAGATACTTATGAAATGAATTGCGTTTTGTTAATCCGAAGGTTCATTGCCGTATTCACAAAAGCAAGTCACTGTATCCTATCCTGAGCCACATGAATAAATAAATTGTCCTGTAAGGGAAGTAGACTGCCCCCGAAAATTGTGCGATGAGACAAGAATTAATGTTAAAAATATGGGGAAGAACATTATACGAGGTGTTACCCAAACGTTCGGGGAATTTGAATTCCACAGGCGAACCGGTTGTGTAATGGCCTGCCGCCACTAGATAGGGCGAGCAGTACCCTTTTTGAATTAGTGTGCAAACAGCCGTGAAGGCGAGAGGCCGCGTTCTTGATTTTCGTGCGTTTTTGTAACGTTGTGTTGTAGTGGTTCGGCGATTTTTTAAACCTGTTTAAATGGCAGATTTTAAGGAGCAAAGAATCTGCATCAAATTTTGCTTTAAGCTTTAAAAAACTGCTGTAGAAACCCACCGCGTACTTGTGGAAGCATTTGGTGAGAATTCTATGAGTCAAAGAAAAACTTTTTTGTGATACAAACGCTTTAAGGATGGACGGACGCCTGTCGACGACGATGAGCGTTCAGGACGACCATCGACAAGCACAACACCGGAATGCGAAAGTGCGAGAGGCTATGGTTGCAGATCGTAGACGAACAATCCATGATTTTTGTGAAGTTTTGAAGCGGCTACGGGAGAGCATTAGGCACAAACGTCCGGAAAAGTGGGACAACAACAGCTGGGTTCTCCACCACGACAACGCGCCCGCCAACACATCGCTCGCTGTTTGGCAGTTTTTGGCTTCCAAAAACACGACAATGATTCCCCCACCCACCCTTTTCGCCTGACCTCGTCCCTTGCGACTTTTTCCTGTTCCCCAAAAATGAAATTTCGATTGAAAGGCCGTCGTTTTGACACAATTGAGGAGATCCAGGCAGAATCTCAGGAGGTGCTTAAAACATTCACACTTGAAGAATTCCAGGGATGCATGGAATCATGGAAAGAACGTTGGGATCGCTGTGTCTATGCCCAAGGGGACGGTGGAAACTAGGAGTTATGATAAGAATTTTTTTATGGGTAAATTCCCTAAACTTTTGGGTAGCACCTCGTATGTCACAATTTCAGAATTATATGCAAAAGTAAAAATTGTGTTTACTCCAAGAATACAATTAATAGCGTGTGAATAACCGTTTGAGTTTGTGCTTTCACTTTTTAAACTTTGTTTCGCTATTGTAATAAATAAATCCAGCCTTTACATTAAATAAACATTAATTTAAGGGAGAAATGTTTTCTTACGTAAGCAGTTATATGTGGCTTCTTCAAGACTTGATTCTGTGAAAGGAAATGCAACAAATATTGTTTATTAAGGACTTCTGTGTAAAATTTGATCATAAGAACGTACAACATTGCTCTTTCTAGAAAACAAGGAAAACTTGTTACATTATACATTCTTGCTTTCTTTTAATAGATTGCAAATATAACTTCTTAATCAGTTGTATTCTTCACTGTTCGTAGAATCCAATCATTAATTTCGTTAAATTAAACTACTGTGTAAATATTTAATTACTTTATTTCCTCAGACTACCTATATATGTTACTTTTCAGAATCCGACAAATTCATGGTGGAACTAATCTGATGAACATTAACGAACCCTGCTGCTATTTATATTCATAAAAATTAATTTAGTTTAAACTAATTACTGTAGAGTCTACTAAATGCAGATGTTCTTGTGATTGTAGATAATACTTTTTTATAATATTCAAATATCTGATTATTAGGCCCATGATAAGCTGTCGGATAACAAAAATTGATAAAACATCTAAACAATATGTAAGATTTGAAGTTTTCACAGCGGTGAGTATGAAGATTTCTGTCTTCTGAGTTGTTGGGCTGTGTAGTCTGGTTATCAGAATATCAGATGAATATTCATCGCCCTGATGCGGAGGCAGTATGACCTCTGAAACGTTGGTTAACATCGACCAGACTACACACCGCAACAACCCAGAAGACGGAAATCACCTAACCAATAGTCGAATTTCTCTGCTGTATTTCAGCGTGGACTCTTCTAGATCTCTCAAAACTCTTTGTTGATAAATTGAGGCATTATGTTTGGACAATCCTTGTAATCTCCTCTCAGTTTAAAGACAGGCTGTAAAAGTGTAGCCCACGCTACATGGTTAAAGAATCGACAGCGAACATACCTGTTTTACATACGTAGCGACTGCTGCTCGTCCATCTCTTGGCACACGTAACAAAATTGAAGCTAATGAGGACTCGTGTACTTAGTCGTAAACAAAATAGTAATTCAAACAGAAGCAATCGACGGCCGCAAACAAAGTATTCTAATGCTGTTGTGGCCTCTATCGTGATATCCTTGGTAAATGTTCTAACAAACTGTAAAGCATTCATACAAAGTCGTTTAGACCAATAGTATTCAAGATTTTTTGTTCGCGTACCCCCAGATATAATTTCTCTTCAACTTTGTACCCCCAAAGTTGTTGGTGTATAATTCAAGTTATACATAGTATATAATCTACATCTAAAATAAATTAAATAAATTACATTAATGATTATTCAGTGTTTATCATTTTTTTTTAAATTTCACGTACCCCCTAAGATGTCTTCGCGTACCCCCGGGGGTACGCGCACCCCAGGTTTAATACCACTGGTTTAGACCGACAAGCAACCTCAAGAAGGGCTCTGTGATGCATCGCCACTTCAGCTCTTATGATTGAGACTCCATTTTCTCCAAAACGTCAGGCTCTACCGACATTCTACACGGCACAAAAAGTCATCCTCACAGCCGTGAAAACTTTAAATCTCATGCTTAATTATTGCATTCGCGACATGACATCTAAATTAGCCAGTGATTGTACATATATCAAATGCTTGTTTTATGGCGAGAATAAAACTCTCTTATGCAAGTAAAAATGTAACCAATGTTCTGTTTTTGCAACCTATTTACAAGTTACGCGGATTATTCTAACTTTAGGGATGAGAAATTAGGCTACTGAAAAACGTTATGGTCGTTACAGTGGCCGCGGGGATGAAGAAAGATGGAAGGAGGGTGGTTTCGGCTAGAGGGGAGTATAAGGCCTTATGCGCTATCGATTTCCCCAACCTCCCACTTCCTCGACTGTCTGGCTCCGATAGATGTCTTGCGATAAGTATACGAATCGTTGCATATTTCGCCGTAGACAAAAATATGCTCATTTTTAACTGCAAACAGAAAGTACAAAGTATTAAATAAATGCAATATTTATGCGAATTTTCAGTATAATTATTTATTTCAACATAGGAAAGTGAATGCATCTTTATGCCGATAACTGAACTAGGAATAGTTGGCAACAAGGAATGGTGTGAGATTAAATGAAAATTACATCACATCGCACATACCACATAATATTTTCAAATTTTTATTAAGAATAGTGAATTCACGTTTTCTCGTAGGAATATGTGCTCTACGTAAATATATTTTATAAAATTAAATTCTAATCCAACTTGTTCGTATCTGATGTTTCACACGTTAATGGCATAATACACTACAATGACAGAATATCATAAAATATATGTCTCTTGACACTATAAAGGGGTTTCAAAGTATCAGACTTACATTTTTGGTACATTACATGCGTAATAATGCTGACTTATAGGGACAGGATACTTAAGAACATAACGAAATTACATAAATTATACTACCTTGCTTGTCTGCGTTTATTACTCACTTTTACACCACATAATAACGTGTATTATAAATATTCTGTATTTAACGCCTTTCCATAAAATCTGATGGCTTACAACGTCTTGTAACATGGATTTCTATTCAACTAATACTGGTCTTAAACTGCCATTTGAAAGCAAGAAATGTCTGCAATAAATTCTACTGGAATATCGATCGTGCATATATAAACATTTGACAGTTGTATTAATAACACAATTTGACAACATGCAATTGCAATATGCTGGAGACATGTAAACGTCAGGCGGTGGTACTCGTCTATTGTCAAGGTGGAGCTGCGATGTGATGTACAGAACAAGGCCTCGCTAGGTTCCACGCTGAGTGGTAAGCTTATTCAAGTTCTTTCCGAAACGGGAAAATTCCTTACAGAACCTCTATGACTGCGGGTAGAACATGCAAAGAGTTCACCGTGTATATAAAAGATAAAAAGATGAAAATAAAACAGTTTTTAAGTTACAAAATAAACCATTTCGAGACCATTTTCATTGTCAGTAGAATTTTGTTCAGATTCCGAATTTCCAAAATGAAGCACCGATTACTTTTAATTACGTTTATAGAGTATATACGAAAATAATACCAATTCAGAATATAAAAACTGGCTAATATTTAAATATAAACGAATAACTAAATCTGAGCACAATATGAACATTACATCGTAATTGGTACGGTGGTATC